CCCAATCATTTGGCCGAACACACAAGAAATAAGATTTTTATTTGTGCAACTTTTACCAAGTGCATTTTACTTGGTAACACACAACAGACAATACAGAGTATTTTGCGAACCAGTTATCTTCGAAGATTTTAGGACTAGAATCCATTAAAAAAATTCTTTAATTGTGCCCGAAAATGAGATTTTAAATCATGTTTGTAAATACCATTGAATTCGAAAATTCCCAAGGCATAAAAACAGATAAATAGAGCAATAAACCGTTTTCTCTGATACTTTTATCAATATGACTACATATTCAGCGCCTGCAATAATTTATATTACTCTAGAACTAATAAGCACAATATTATTAATATTATTAATGACGCAAATAATAAAAACAAGTGGATATTTTACAAAATGGACACTTTTTCAATTATATATATCCGCTCTTTTTAATCAATTACCAAATATTTTTCCTATAATATTATATGGTGATCAACTACAAGAGCGCGCCTTTCATTCCACACTGTGTATAATCATGCAAAAAACAAGTCTATTCTTCTTTTTACCGTTACAATTATTTGCCGCAACACTGTCTTTTTATCTTTGTCTTGCACTTGTTCGAAATGATCTGACTATTGAGCAGAAGAATCGTCGCTGGGTTTCGATTGTTATTTGGGTACTGAATGGTGCTTATCAAGCGGTGAGATTGGGATTATCGAGTAGTTCTGACAATTGGGGCGTGGACGCTAATCAGTTGTATTGTAAATCGACGTCTACGACACAGAATTGGTGGGCGTTTTTGATACCGACTATGATAATGACTTTCTTTGCTACGATTTTCACTTGTGAGAGAAATTCATAATTTTGTTGTTAAAGTATATGTTTTCTTCATTGGACATACTAACATTGGTTTTATTTTCTGGCAAAAGTTTGTTCATGTTTTCTATTAGCTAAGCATAAGAGAAGATTTACACGAAAACAAAGTCGAAGAACAGCAATAGAATTAGGACAAGCTATTAGGCTTTTAGTTTGCAATCTTGTTTATATCTTGCTCCTTTTAGTCTCTTCTGTTCCAAGAATGGTGAAACTTGCCAACAATATCCCGGATGATGAGAAACTCACAATTGCAGAATATTCCGGGAGCATAATGTAAGTTTGATTTTTTATCGAATGAATGAATGAATGACTACCCTTTTTTTTAAAAATTAGTCGAACGATAAAATTGCATATATTTTAATAGCGGAATATGCCTCTTTTTGATATTCGGAACAAATCGTTCAGCAGCTTTATGTCTTCCATGTTTTTATTACGAAACTACTGAATCACTTTTAATTAAAAACACGGTTAAATTACAAAAAAAGGCCAAACATGACACAATTCAAATAGCAACACCTACACACAGCAAGCAACCTCAAAAATGCAACAACTCGGAAACATTAGAACTCGAATACGATTTCTCCAACATTACCGATGTAACTACGGTACGATCCTCACCAAGTACAACCTCAAGTGGGATAACAAATATGACACAGAGTTGGTACCAGGCTTGAATCGAATTTTTGTGTAAATATTTTCACATTAATAAATGGAATGCGAACGCTTCTTGTCAAGTTGATAAAGGATCCATGCATAAATGATGGAACGCAGTTAGTGATGGGGTCCTTCCGCACAATGCATAGTGATTGACAAACTTAGTATCGTTAATTAAGGAGTAATATTAAGCTAATCCTTTTCTCGATCATAAAGTATTTGGATTCGCTTTTCAACTATGGAAGTCGTTCAGTCAGTCTAATCCTAATTCGGGGCTAAATTCCGTTTGATTATTGATATATGCACCTTTATTGCTGCCAAAATTTGACAATTAGAAAATGTCCGAAACTTTTCTAACACACAATGAATAATCGATGCATACTGTAACTTAGACTTTAAATTCCATTGCAGTTTTTATTTGAATATGCAATAATTAAACATTAGTTTGAACAATACCATAAAAATCATGCTATAAAAATCATGTTTAATTTTAATAAATCTATAGTTTTACTAATACAGTCAGACCTCTCTATAATTACACCTCTTTGTAGTTATCTTTTTTGAGTTTTCCAGTTACTAATTAACTATAATTAAAAAATCTCTCTATACAGTCAAAGAGACCTCTCTATAATTACACCTCTTTGTAGTTATCTTTTTTAAGTTTTCCAGTTACTAATTAACTATAATTAAAAAATCTCTCTATACAGTCAAAGCTGTCTATACCGAACCTGTTTATACCGAAATCTCGCTACAATGACCCGAAATTGCCAGAACCGATTTTTTTATAATTAATTACGCTGGTTATACCGAACTAATTAATAAATTTTTATATACCGCATCCGAACACAATTTTCCAGCCCGTTATGATATGGA